AGAGAGAGAGAGAGAGAGAGAGAGAGAGAGAGAGAGTGAGTGAGAGAGAGGGAGAAGGGGAAGAGAGATTTGACTGGTGCTGACATTTGCGACACTTGCACACTGCGAAACTGAATCCAAAGGGATGGTTTTACTAAGCTGGATTTCTTTTTGAAACTTAAGGGGTTCTTTTTAATTTTAAAGGTGGGGGTAGGGGTAGGGGGGTCACCTTTCTATTCTCGAAGCTGAAGTAGCCGTTCTATTCATTGATTTGCGATCAACAGCATGCCAGCCAAATAACGACCACATATCGCCAGAGGGGCAGAGAAGCACGTGTGTGCGCGTTCTTCGTTGAGCTGGATGAAATAGATAAAATGGACTTGCAATCAGCCTTGGTTGTTTCAGCGCCTGAGCGGTGTGGCCTACGCCAGTTACAACGACTGAGGAGGGTTTATGCCTTGAAGATTTACTTCGTTATACGCGGGTGTACTTGAAAGTCTGGACACTTGGGCAGAATTTGTTTTGTTCAGTAAGTTTTAAGACATCCACAAATACTGTCAGCAACATACTTTGATTTAATTGGAAATAATATTTTGTTTTTCGTCGTTGGGATTGGGTCGGTGCACTTTGCGACAGGCGAACTTAAGGCACCGATTCTGCATTGCTGTCGATTTGAATTTTATTGATAAGTTAGTAAGAGTTTCTGTGCCCAAACAGTAGGAAACCAAGATGTCCGTTGTGGGTTGTGAGAAGGAATGAAATATAGGTTCTGTGAAACCTGGAATCTCACGTTCAGTTACGATGGAAAACGTGGAGGGAGGGGGAAAGAGATAAATAAGTGGGAATAAAGACAGTGAGAGATGAGAGTAAGTGAGAAAGTTGAGATTGAATGAGTGTATGTGTGTGAGGGAAATAAAGTGAGAGGAGGGGAGGGAGAGATAGGGAGAGAGAGAGGGAGAGAGAGGGGGAGGGAGAGGGAGAGAGAGATGGAGAGAGGGAGAACAAGAGAACGGAAAAAAAAGAAAAAAGAGGTAGACAAGACATTCGCACAGAGATACACAGATATAGAACCACATCCTAATTTTACGTCAATCGTCCGGGGTTTTAGCTTCGCCCCAAGAGGTGAGCCACGCTAGACACCCAAAAGGATTGCGACTCTCCTTATCATTTTCATATTCAAGTATCAGAGCCCGACCGGCAGTGCTGCATGACCAGATGGCTGGAAGATATCCCCACCCGATAGAGGTGTACTATATTGTCATAGATTAGTCAATGGACCTGGTTTAGTTGCTTGTTATTGACCTGAATGCAACTCCCCTCGGCGCTTAACGTCAACAAAGAATGAAAGAGGAAAACGTAAAAGTAAATACATGGAACATAGTTCAGATTTACTGTGGAGCACACCAGCCGAGCCAAATGGAGAGTAAAAAGGTGTAAACGTTGGGGGGGGAGAGGCGTGCAGTGCAGTGAAGCCATTACTATAACAAGACTGGTGTTTCGCTCTTCAATTGGATGAATTCGTGCGACCCATAATTATTATAACAACGCGTTTTAGGGCAAGGTTTTAGTAAACAGCGAAGAGCAGCCGGCATGACATTCTAGCTGTACAAGTCTATGCCCACACCAAATCGAGCACAGACAGTCAGCGCTAAAAGTATTATTACAATGAGGTAAAGAGAATAGAACGTAGTTTCCGTTGGAATTGTAGATTCTTATGAGGGGTTTATTTTCTAATATTTTTTCATTAAAAAAATAAATTATAATTTGTTCTCGACACTTTTATATTGCGCTCTTATTGTTGTTTTGTCTGCTAATTTCGATTGTTCTTGTTCCCTGGTGTTGTTCAGATTGTGTTTCTGTTTTCTTTGTCGTTTGGCGATCTTGCGTACATTTGCAATGTTACCCTTGTGCTTATTTCGAATGACTCATTTATGGGATTAGGAGAGGTGGGCCGAGGGAGGGGGGGGGGATGTGGGCAGGTAGGGTTGCTTGACTGGAGAAGTGCTCTGTTTATTCTGTTCAATAGAAAATAGACACTGCCAGGTTGATTAGATAGTCTTCTGCTCAGAAAATATAGTTTACACAACCTTGGGTGAAGGCGTGGAGTCTGGCAGATTTATTATGAAACCTCCTAAATAATTTTACAGCTATAATGCTGCTTTTCGACAGTAATATTTTCGCTTTTAAAATATTTTTTCATTTCTTTTCTTTTTGTAGGTCGGATGCACTTACAATACCTCACAATGTCTCGTCAGAAAGAACAGGTAAGATATCATCATCATCATCATCGGCAGCAGCAGCAGCAGCAGCTGCAGCAGCTGCATCCGCAGCATCAGCATCATCATCATCATCTTTTTTCATCCCTTGCCAATTTATATGACTTTGACGCCATGTGATTGGTAGAAAAAAATTGGTAGAAAATGATAGTGTGCAATAGTGTGTTACGTGCGCATACTTAGTATGACAAGAAGCTGTTCAGATAGAGATTCAAGGATTATAGATGTAAGTCATTGATCTGAGAACAATAGTGGTTTTAACAATAATGGTGGGGATGAGTGATGATGTGGGATAGCGTTTAAGTAATGTAAACTTTAATCCTATCTTCCTCTGCTCTAATGAGTCACGTTCGCTACTGGAACCATCTTTAATGTCACAGTGAAGTTTCGAAAAAGTGTGTGTGTGTGTGTGTGTGTT